CTCTATTTTTGTCTATGAACAATGCTTCCATAAGTGTATGTAATACATATTTGAAATACAAAAATTTTAGTTTTCGCTATCAGAACGATGTTATTCCAGTTTCCTTCGTATTTGTTTCCACCTGTGAACGCTATTTCTTACGGGTTTATACATAACATAAAAATGTTAGCTTCTTCTATAACATAGTGATCTTATTCCAGTTTATCTTTTGCGACAGGATTAAGTACCAGGGAATTTCTCCTCCATCTAAACGATCTGAGGTGGACTTTGATGCTGGTGCTAAGTTCCACATCCCATCCGGAGTGCCATACATCCGGTACGAACATATCCAAAAAACAAAACAAAACATAAGAACAAAAAAACGAGACACTGGCCTGATTAATATAAAGTTTATTATAACGATTAAATAATATTTAACTCTTTCTAGTTTGAAAAGTCGTTCATGTATTGAGAAGTAGATATGCTCTTTATGTGGAACAAAGTTTGGCGTAACCAATAAAATTACTTCTCTCTGTAATATATCCTCTCGTTCTGTATTGTGAAATTGGTTGGTCGAATAAAATGATAATAATAACCTGTTTTTTACAGTTATTTTGTAAGCTTCGTCATCCAATTCCAGTTTCACGAAGCACTTTGTAAGAAAGCAGGCCACGAGGGACCGCTGTATAAGTGTGATATTTACAGGAGTAAGGAGGCAGGAAGTGCTCTAAGGTATGCAACACGTGTTTTTTAATATAAGTTGGTAAACATACTCTACAACTAGAAACGACTTGTAACATTTGTCTAAACTGACGACACGTAAAAATGTATTTGTGATCTTTGTATTAATTTTGATTTAATAATCTACAGCTACAGTGGTTGACTCAACAACTTCCCCCATTCAATATTTGAATTTATATGCTACTCCAACTTCAAGTATAATTTCCTGGTAAATTTTCTAGTTTCGCTTAGTCATATCATGATACTCTAATTTCATATAATTAATTGTTTTACCTTATCATTTTAAGCACGTAAAATCACAAGATGCTAAACAATAAACTGCTTTAACTCCTGATTTTTACCCCGTTGACTCAGCGGCTAGTCTAACAGGTCATAACATTTAAATATTGGGTTTCGATATTTGCGATAGGTACAGCACATTGTACAGCTTTGTGCTTAACAGCTAACTCCTGCTTTAAAGGACCTATTAGTACAAAGTGTTAAGTATTTGTTTTCGAACCCTATTATGTGAAATGTGTTTAAAATGTTTATTGACATTTAATAGTGTTCATATTATAATGGAAAATGTTTATTGAGACTTAATAGTTAGTGTTCATGATATAATGGAAAATGTTTATTGAGATTTAATAGTGTTCATGTTATAATGGAAAATGTTTATTGAGATTTAATAGTGTTCATGCTATAATGGAAAATGTTTATTGAGACTTAATAGTTAGTGTTCATGATATAATGGAAAATGTTTATTGAGATTTAATAGTGTTCATGTTATAATGGAAAATGATTATTGAGAATATAGCGAAGATGAAGGTCACATTTTAGAGCACAATATCTAATACCTGAAAGTTATCTATTCATTTTGAAATTTGAACTACATTATCACACCCTATATCTCTATAACTGATAATATTATCACCAATTGCTAAATCTCCTAATATCCTTTTTTTTTCAAACCTGCTTCTAGTGAAGCCCTCAGTATGGGGTCATCTCGACCATGGCCGGAAGTGATGGAGTTGTTGACGGGTGAGTCCACTATGAATGGAAAATCCCTGATTTCATACTTCGAGCCCCTGGAGACTTGGCTGGACAGTCAACTGAAAGATGAATCTATTGGCTGGCCTGACACTAAACGTGAGTATTCTGTCTATACAAACTATTCAGCTGTAAAAAACATAGCTTTTTAATAATTTACGAAACTAAACGTTATTGTTTTACAGGACCAGTACAGTAATATATAAACATATGGTTTAGCAAGAGTTTTCATAGAATATGAAAAATTTATATCTTAATGTTCGTATATACGTACATTACTTATGTAAGGGTTTTTCGAATTTATATACTTCAACTTTTGTTTCGTTTAATACAAAAGTATCTGAAAAACATCTTTTGATGCCACATTTCAAATAACCTTCTTTCAGATCGTGATTCTTGACGAAATTAATCCAAGTTACTTTATAACGGTTTTTCCTCTTCTTTTTCTTCGAATTCGTAGTTCCTTGTTCGCCGCTATAGGGCGCTAAAATCAAACGTGTAGAATTATTTGCATTCGTCCAAGTCTGTAGTGAAATAGCTTTGCTATGCTGTATTTCACAAAGTAGAAAAAAAAATATTTGTTAAAAAAGATGATTTATATGACCACTAAATAGTTATTGCTACAATACTGTTCACATTAGATGAACGAATATATTTTCCATTTTTCTAGTTGAAGATTATTTAGAAGCTTGAGAAAAGCAAACCCTTCAACCAAGAGAAGATCCAGAACACCATTAATGTTTTCTTTGTACAACACTTATGTACTTCTGTAAAACCGGACTAAAATATGAATAAATAAAAATGCACAGTGCATTATACTGTTTATTGTTTGTTTGAGCTACACATATGTGTACAAGTCATCTCTAATTTAAACATTGGTAAAGGAACCAGGGGAGAGGGAAGTGTAAGTTCTCCAGGTATACACTAGGTAGTGGCAGATTAATAATTTTAAAGCTCCTTTTAACTACAAGTCCGTGTTTTTATAGGTATATTTTAAGAATTACTCCATTTTAGGTCTATAAATGCCACATTTTTGGGGAGTCATACCCCATGATTTCCATAGAATGACTTTGTTCAAATCTTTAGCCCTCTCAATTAATTTTTGCTTCCTCTGCTCATGTTAAACCAATAAAATAGATTGAAATCAGCTAGTCAACAGCACCCACAGTAAACTCTTGGCTACTCTTTCTTGGCCTTAAAGTAGTAGTTCAAAGTTATTATTGTAGCGTATTCATAGCCCCACAGTATAGCGTGCGTTATCACAGTAACGGAAAACGAACCATGAACCCTCAGATTTACCGTCTGGGCACGCTAACAAACAAGCTTCGCCCGGTCCAGCAGTGGTTATGATCTCTGGATAGGACACAAACAGTGAAAAATGTGGTTGTTCACATTTTACTTGTTGTTTTAACAGACTGGTGTTAAGAACGCTAGAGGATATAAAAATAGTACCATCATTGATGATAAATTACAGATATTATTGAGTTTTTAGTCATAAAATTACAGGCATGATTGTGTTTTCAGTTATAAATTACAGGCATGATTGTGTTTTCAGTTATAAAATTACAGGCATGATTGTGTTTTCAGTTATAAAATTGCAAACACGAATTCAATAGAAAACTTTTCATGAATTTTATTATCAAAAGTTAACATTATATGTATCTTAGCTAAACATTAAATGCTGTGCAGAACTGTTAAGTTATAATAGTAACTCTGCATGTCACATGGGCTAAACGACTTAAATAAAAAGACCTGTGTGGTTCAGGCATAGGCGTCTCTAATTTTTAACCATGGACCACAGGAAAAGTATCCAGTCAACAGCATCCACAGCCTGAAGTGATTACTTAGTCTTAACGGATTAGTGGGATTGTTCAGTTAATATCCTGGTTTTTTGAATACATTTATTGAAAAACTATCCTTCGGCGTTTTCCATTGTGTCGATGTCAATCTTTTCCCAAATCTAATTGTAATTCGATTTCACTACTTGTCTCAGAAGAGTTTCAAAATGTTGTTGTTTTCTGAACTTACTGCATCTGTACTTTTGGTAGCTTAAGTAAATGTCACCCATTTTTGGACTGATTCACTTAAAAGACGCTTCTTGTAAAATTAAAAAAAATTGTTGATTGTAGCATAAAGCTACATAATAGGATATCCGCGTTCTTCCCACCACGAGGAATCGAACCCCTGATTTTAGTATTGTAAGTCTGTAAACTTACTGCTGACCCACCGAGGAACTAAAATAGTTTAATTAATGTTTAAAGATGATATATTTCGGCTACTTGTAAAGGTTCACAAAAAGTGTGAAATTGTAGAATGGAGTAGGGAAAACAGAAATGGCTTTTCATTTGTAAGAGCAGTATATTTCCAATTATAAACGGTCGTGAGTTCGAAACCCTTCACCTAATATGCTCGCTTTGTCAGCCATGATGTGACAGTCAATCTCATTATTCTTTGGTATAAAAAGTAGACCAAGAGTTGACGTTAGGTGGTGTTAACTAGCTATTCTATCACCAGGCTAACGCAGATAGGCCTCGAGTAGCTTTACAAAGAATATTATTATTTAGTTACAGTGAAATGGCATTGTTATAAAAATAGAGAATTACAAAATGATAAAAATTATCGTTTTGAAAAAAAGGTAAACAATTTAAAACTAGGTATTATCTTAGTGATTTCTGTAACTGATTTAATTAATTATAGTATTTAAATAATGTAATTTCAATTTCTAATATACGCAAAACATTTTTATATTTAATTTTTTCAGCGCCTATACTCGGCCACCTGTTTTGTATTACAATAACTACGTTTAACTTAAAAAACATTCTTCATTATCTATCGTAAATGATAAAAATCTCATTCAGTATATATTTCATAAAATTTTATGTAGTATAATAGACGTGATACCTTCCTGACCGAATTCGTGATGCATCTATCCCTGAAACTTGTTTTTTTGCGTTTCTTAGCTATGAAACTACAAAAATGTCATCTTGAAAAATGATGAAAACTGTAATTAAGCAATGTGTAGGTCATACGATGGTTCGAAACCTGTACTAAACAGAAATTACTTAAACTAGCAATAAGTTCCTACGCATGCGTGATATTTATTTCGTATCCTTACAAGAACGAAGTGCGGGTTCGTCATTCGCTCGCACTAAAGGAGAAAATTGAAATGGTTGTCAACACGTAAAAAATTGGAAAACGAGTAAAGTAAGTGGTTAAGAAATCCTCTGGAGAATACCAAATAACCCCTGAAAGTTTCTTTGTGATCGAGACTACCAAATAACCCCTGAAAGTTTCTTTGTGATCGAGACTACCAAATAACCCCTGAAAGTTTCTTTGTGATCGAGACTACCAAATAACCTCTGAAAGTTTCTTTGTGATCGAGACGATGGAAAATTTTCGTTACCAACATCCAAACACAAGCCGCTTTATGGTATAGATGAGCGCTCAGCAGAAAGTAAAATAGTTCGATATTCAAAACAATTCACAATTAACGTATTGTAGCATGAACAATTCTGTTGGTAACAAACTAATTAACATAGATTACCGGAGTAAGAAAAATATTTTTTTTCCTCTTTACTTGTCCCTAAAAGAATGAAGACATAAAACGATGAACATTTTCTTTGATTTACCTTTTATAGGTGCCATCGTAACTCGGTTTGATAATAAAATCAGTAAAAAAAAACAAACGACCATTGGATTCCAGATAATTCTAAGAGAAAGTTTATTTTAACCGACGTTTCGCCTTTGCGGCTTTTTTATTTTATTAGATAACAGTTTTTACTTTAACACATGTTCACAACGATAATAAGCATAATATGTACAATATCGTCCACACACAGACTAATACGGCTCTTTCAGTATTTTTTTGTTGTAACTCCACATTTGACTTCTCTTCTTGGTGAATTTTCCTTTCTCATTGCTTGTCGTTTTCCAGCATCAACAAAAGATTTTCTTTGTATAACATCTGATGCTAAGTTTATGCCTGACTGAACAGCTTGTTTTCCTATATAACAAGTAGAAATGAATTCCAAGCTGAATGAAACAAGTTACTCAAAATGTCTCCCAATCAGTGATCCCATTGCTACTGACGACCAGCATAATAAAGTAAACCACTTCCCACTTTGTAATCGTAATAATCGTCATAGACAGAGGGTTACTGATAGTATGGAACTCTCATGTTTTCACAGATGACGAAAATGAAGTGTTATGATGACTCTTCCTTGTTGAAGTGGGATAGGTCGACTCATGTCATCCCTTACATCGATCTCAGTAGTTTGGAAACTTGTCTGTATTGAGGATTTGTAAATGTTTCAGTAATCATGTCTCCATTCTGACCTTTAACATCATCAACAATACCGAGTCCAACAATATCTGAGTAAACATAGAGTGAATAACATCCACCATGCATATTAACAGTATATGGAGCTATGGTTGGCTCTGTTATTCTGTGATTATTATCAAATCCAAGTAGTACTGATAGCACAGGATTCAGTGTTATACAGGATCTATTATTTACATTCAAACTTACTTTTTGGGTGAACGAATCATAAGTAAATATAGGTTCATTGTCAGGTTTAAAAAGTGATTCTTCTACTTGGTTTAAGATTCCAGTTAAATGTTCAAGTTCTTGTAATAACATGGTCTAATATAACTGATTATGGTAGAAGAGTGAGGGCCAGAAAAGTAGGATAACCATCTTGTATCGTCAGACACGTTATAACAGCTACGTGAATACTGTAACTTGGCCAAAGCTGTTTCCCACGAACCTTCAAGGCTGATAGATCTCGGAAAATGAATGACATAGTTTGTTACAGTATTGCTAACAAAATAGTTTCTAGAATTGTTACTAGGTAAGGTCACATACAGCTGATCCATGCTGAATAACGAGCTTATCATTTTTATGACTGCAGACAATTCAAATCTTTTTGAGGGACCCGGCTATTGAATCAGAATATCCTTTCCATTTTACAAAATATTGTTTGTTTCCCCCCTTCCTAATTCGCATAATATTTCTTCCACAGCATAAACATCATTGAGCACTTGACAACACGTTGTAGTTCAGCTTCGTAAACTGTCCCATTTAATTTTTCTCTGAGATGGTCTTGCAGTTTATATACTGGTGGATTTCTCTCTATTCTCTCATAAATTGTAAAGGTTTTGTCTGTCCATCCAAGCATATAGTCTTTCTTAAGTTGATGCTTCACTTTACTAATACATACTTGATCACCTACTTTTAATCAAAATTTCACTTAGCTAGATGGGTTGTAAAGTGTTTTCCACACCACTGGCTGATTAGAGTGATTAATGTTCATTGGTCCCATTCTGGTGATACGATAATACGATTGGTTATAGGCATTGACCAAATTTTTCAATACTGTGATACACTTGTAAGTTTCATGGGGAGTAAAATAGCACAACTATCTAGTTTTAAGAATGCGATTAAATATTTCTATTATAGATGCTTTTGTTTTATGTGTAGTAAAGAAATGGATGTCTTGTTCCTTGAGATAACACTGAAACAAATGATTAGTAAATTCTGTTCCAGAATCACTTTGAAGTTTACAAGGTTTTCGACCCTGTTTTAAAATCAGTTTGAAATGTTTTACGGGTGTTGCACCTTTCTTATCCATGCATATTTAAAAATCGCATCGATACACGTGAGTAAAGACTTAAACTGATTGTTATATTGACTTAGGTTAGAGAGATCCACCAAATCAGCCTGCCTTTGTTCATTGATTCCAGAAATGATCACTCTGTTCCATGAAAATTTATATCTTACTGGTTTGTGTAAAGTGTATGTATCTTGACGACTCAAT